TTTCCACTGATCACTCCTCAGCATTTCCAGACTTCAGGTTTTCTCCTCTCCAGTGGGAGGATTAGGATTCCTTCTCCGCCTTCTCTAATAGTCATCTCTGAAAATCAACAAGGTGATGATTGGGAACCTTTAAGCTAAGCACAGTATATACAAAGGCAAAAGCAAAACCCTCCCTGCCCTCAGGAAGCTTAGATTCTCCCAACCCTAAAGAAACAAAATCTATGGGAAGGAAATGCTCCCAAATTTAGGGATGGGTGCTCACATCCGGGGAAATCATGGGAGAGGTGGCGCGTCAGCATTCCAACAACATTTATTCCTGTTGTGTGTTCTACGTAGACTACGCATGTAAGTGGGCACCGAGGGGAAACAGAACCCGGTCACTGTCCTCCAGGACCTTACGTTCCCTTGGGTCTGGGGGTCTGGAAGCAGGCAGGCTTTCCCGAGGCTCCTGGGACTGATCTTCTGGGCTGGTGCTGCCCAGCGCATCGAGCAGGAACATGTCCTGGGGGTCGTGATTGAGAAGGGGCAACTCTGGAGGCAGACCGAGGAGGATTTGGCCCCTCCAGAGTGGGGGAAGGGAGGATGGAAAGAGCCTGTGCTTTCCATGCTAAGAGCTGGACGCCTCGTCCCGTGCCAAGGGGACCCGCGCTCCTCCACAATTCTATCAGCTGTGGCCTTTGGGAACCAAGAGGAAGTCCCCAGGTCAGCCCTTGCCTCGATGGCGAGCTGCCATTAAGCGCAGGGAGGGTTGTACTTGGAGGCAGGGGCCCCTCCCCCACCAGGCTTGAAGCCCAGCTCTGCCTCGGGCCCCTCCTGGTGCCTCACATGGACTGGGCGGTCCCCAAGGTCCCTTTCAGTTCTGAATCCTGCATGTCCACGAAGGCCTGCGAAGCAGGCGTCAGCGTGCAGGCTTAGAAGGACAGACAGGAGAGGATTAGGGGTAGAAACCTTCACTGAACACTCCTAGGTACCCCAGCCCCCGGCAACCATCATCCAGCAACTGCCTCAGCAGCCCCTCGTCACTCAGATCCCCCCAGCCCAGGCCTACCCTGCCCCAAGGTCAGGGAGCATCAAGGAAGGTAAGCTGCTTCCCATAGATCTCCCCCACCTCTCCCTCTCTCCCTCCCTCCCTCTCTCTCTCTCTCCCTCCCTCTCTCTCCCTCTCTCCCTCCCTCCCTCTCTCTCTCTCTTTCTCCCTCTCTCTCTCTCCCTCCC